TGGATTTGTCCCACGCCACGACCCCTGACCCCCAAGAGTCAGCACTGTCACACTCACTTAGCATTCCTGCACTGTTGCGACATTAGGGCCTTCTTTGTCTATGTATTCACCGCCCTCCAGTGTCGTACCTTCCACAGATCTTTGAGCTGTCGTTTTCTTGGCTTCAGGCTGGTGCTTTTCCCGGCCGTTTGAAAAGAAGAACAGAGCGAGCTTTGATCGATCTGTCCCAAGAATTTCAGGCCACAATTTGCCCTTGAGGCAAGCGTTAGCCAATCATTTTTTTTGTCTCTTCCTGATGTGTATTTATTAACTCTTATGGTAAATTTTGAAATACATGAAGAACCTCAAGGGTGACTTGCCACCCAAAAGCTACCGCAAATGTAAAGTTACTATACTGTATATTGAATTCGATGTTTAAAAGATTTTTATCTGCAACATGTTCAGCTCACTTGCATAATAATTTATGAAGAAACTAAACTGAACTAAAGTCGCCAGAGTACAAAGAAGGTTCATGTTTATCTAAGAACCCTGACACACCAAGCCGACGGTCAACCGCTGGTCACTGTCGGGCCGTTTGTGGGCAACTGCTGTGCTAGTTTCTGCAGTGTGTCCCATGTCGTTGGTGCTAGGGTGTCAGCTTTTCCTCAGCTGATTCAGCATGTTGAATCAGCATCAGAGCATCATAGCTCGACGTTGGGTAAAATCACTCTGATAGGCAGTTCCGCACAGCACACGACAAGAGAAACAGAACTGAAGAAAATAAACAAATGGCAGAAGTCAAAAGGGTGTGAGAAGGAAACCTACTTGTTATATTACGTAAGGTAATATTTTTAGCCATTGAGCTCTTCAGGAGAAACAGTTCCTAACTGTTTGTGTTGTTATTTGCTGGCGCACCGTAAATATCCTTTGTTCCGTCAACATTGGGTTGTGTAGTTAATGTGCTAACTGGCTAACTAGCATCTTGAATCCGTCCTGTCGGCCTTCCAGTTTCCCTTTTTGAATGACAAATGCAGACTACCGCCGCCTGCTGACATGAAGTTATGTCCTCTCATGCACGTGCAGAACTTTCGCGCAAGTTGGCCGTTGTCGTTTTTGCAGTGTGTTCAGAGCAACTTTTTGGCTGAGACACAAGCAACATTGTCTCCACTTGCTCTTTGATGTCAGTTTGGTGTGTCGGGCCTTTACAGCGATGTTTCTTAATTTTTTTTCTACAGAGAAACTTCTAAACCTGCATCCGCTCTTAGGAGTTCACTCCTTTTTCTTTTTAATATGTTCATCCTGGAAAACATTAACCATTTGATGCACTTTTACTTTGTACAAAATTAACTTGAATTTTGTAAATAGTCAAGTACCTTTTTATACCCTTTCAAATATTATAATGGTTTTCAGTATTTTTCCACGTGGTTTATGGCATTACTTTGTAACTTAAGCAACAAGGCTTTGTGTTACTGAACCTGTTACGAGACGTTGCATGCCTTTTAACGTGCACTGCATCAGAGCAAAAGGATGTGCATAAAGTATTGCAGGCAACATGGATATCAACAAATTAATTCTGATGAGTAACTGTAACTAAATGACGATCAGATGCCATAAAGATGAGTCCGGTAAATGCACATTGCTTACAGTATGTCAGCACCCTCCTGGTGTTACCAACGAATGTCAGTTTGTCCTGTGTTGATGAGAAGAGCTGTAATATGCCTACAAATAAAACATTGTATATGTCTGTGAATGTCTTTTTAATGAACGCCTGAGGAGTTTCAGCTGTGGGAAGGAGCCCCGAGGAAACAAGAGTGTTGTTTATTTAAATCATGTCAATTAATCAGAGAGAGGCTACAGTTATGGAGGGAGAGATCAAGAGTGAAGATAATTAAAAGCTGCAGTAGGCAATATTATTTCATTATGTTTTGGTTGAAATGTTGGCCCTGTTTATACCTGGTATTAAACTGTGTCTTGGGTAATCCTATCACAAGTGGACAGCCCTAAATATAGAGGTGCTTTTACACCTGCCCTGTTTGGTTCGGTTCAATAGAACTCAAGTTTGTTTGCCCCCTAAGTGCGGTTCGTTTGGGCAGGTGTGAACCAAAACAACTGGGCCGAGACCTTCTTGAAGAGGTGGTCTCGGTCCGGTTACAAACAAACTCTGATGCGGTTCGTTTGTAGTGAGAAGGTGTTCAGACCTGGATCTGAACCAACTGCAGTCACATGACACATTGTTTGGATTAAACATTGTTTTCTAGTTGGAGCCGCGCCTCGTTTTCAAAATGTATGGTTTGACTAAAATGAACAATGACAGCAATATAGTCCACGATGAGCAGCGCTAAAATCAACCTGCGTAGTTGTCCCTCCATTGTGACATTAGAAAGTGTCACATTTATCTTGCAAGTGTACTCTTCTTCATCGTTTTGTTTACTTCCTGGATTTTTCAGTTTTGGAAATTCTGACCAATCCAGAGCAGCTTTCTCACACAAGGCATTTGATCTGGTCCGCTTGTAAATGCTGCCGAGAGAACACGAACCAACTCTAAGCAATTGTGTAACAAAATTGGTCCCTGATTCAGACCAAAGCAAGACAACTCTAGGTCTGAAAGCACCCTAAGTGTAAACGACCACCAAGACGCAATGTGATCTGATCTGAATGTGGTGGTTGTACCTGTGACAGCGAGCAATTTTAAGACAAGTTGGACAAAGTGTTGTGTGACCATCCACTGTTTTCCCCTATGGGGGAGACATGTTGAATTCTGCTGACAGTAATTTCTCCAGCTGTATTGACACAACCACTAACATAACTAGTGAGCAGACACAACGTGAACATATTAAGTGTGTATGGGGCCCTTTAACCTTCTGGTGTAAATGAAACGGTATGCTGCATTCACATGCTCCTCAAAAAGTCCTGAGTTGGGAAGTTGTCCTTCTGACTTCAGTGTGTTCACGAGCTTTAAGTCGTAATGTGGAAACAAAATTGACGCTACAAAGAAGATGTGCTGTATTTTACTGCTCAGAACATTTAAACATATTTGAGGCTTTATATTAAAAAATGATTTTGTCGTAGACTTGTTGCTGCCGTACATTAGCTACTGAAATGGTGCTTTTATGCTAAGTAACTCAGTAACTTTTCCAACTGATCCAGGTCACTCTACGTGGACAGCAACTAACGTTAATACCATATTACAAATTACATGTAAAGACAAAAAGCTGACATGTAATATATGAATTACTATGAAGTTTATTATCATCAACCAAACATTTACTTTGGTCTACCATGTTTCTGCACCTCTAATGTCAACTTGACAACTCGTTTACCAAAATTTTCACCAACTTTTCAAGCTATTTTTCCCATTTGAGAGGACATACCTGAATTTTCCCAGTGGGGAGGTCATTTTTTCAGTTATTCTGACCCCACATGAAAGCAGGGGTAACGCAAGCAGTCAGCTGGAGACGCAGGATGGACACAGGTGTGAACGGCGATGTGTCTCGGCTGTCCACTTGTCTTCGGATCACTGAAACTCATGCTAATACCAAGTGTAAAGATTAGAGATGAGAAAAAGGCACTGCAGTGACAGAATCTTGACTCATATTAATTCAGTGCTGCCTAGTTTGACCGTTTGACCACAGTTCATGAGCACTAAGAGGAGGAAGAGGAATTTGTCTCCTACTTCTGTGTGGATGTAGTGACAGTTTCAGTGAATAACAAAAAATTAACTTTTATAAAAGTTACAAACCACCTTTAACGCGCAGAGATGACTGTGAAGCCACCTGCCAATCACAGCCTCCCAAAACCTTTAATTTTTGTCTGGGCTGCAGTGTTTTCTCTCACATCTAAAGAACATTTAATTTAAAGGCAAACGAGAGTATTGTCAGTGGTTGTTTGCATCCTCTGAGTTAAAAGAAAGCGCTAATAAATGAGAGCTCCCCTGTGGTGCTGTGATTTAGTGAAACTGTGATTTGCGTTTGGGGACGCAGGTTTGATTCACTCAGCTGACACATGCTAACCATCTGCTGCTGTCAGTGCTGTGCTGAAAACATAATGATCCCTCGCTGAGGAGGGAATTAGACTGTTGCAGCTACAAACGTAATGAGATCCAGCGAGGGCAAGAAAGTGAGTACGGCCAAAGGAACTGAATTAAAGATGAGCCGTAAATCCAAGCACACAGAGCACAGTCAGTTAATCTAAAACAAATGTGAGGTTATGTCGAAATGCTGCAGAACATGTTACAGTATATATATAGGCTCTAACAGTGAGGCATCTGTGAAAGAGTATGGGTTCATATATGTGCCTGTTTCCCTTCATCTTCATTGTTACAGGATTGTTATGTTATTTTCTGTATCTGAATCCAAGGTCATGAGTGCCTTGTTATAAATAGAACTGACTAATAAGATCAGTCAGGCCGCCACTATGGACGGAGACTTATAGATCCCCAACACTTATTGCTATAGAAACAAATCTGCAGTTTGTACACCTTGTTATCGTCCCTTTACACCACCCCTCCAGCATCATGGACAGGCCACATGAAACAAAGCAGCCCCATGGCACAGGGAGGAGAACGGACAGACAGGAACACATGCTCATTAGTGCACAAACATGGCTCTCTTGTTCTGGGTTTGCTTAATCACCTGAGGATGACCTGCACCTCTGCTGAATGCAAAGTGACAGCTGCTGGACCCTCTGCAACCATTATTACCTCCACCCTGTCTTTACCTGACAGCGTATAGAGCCAGTGCTGAATATGCATTAACCTCAATGAAAAGGAGCTGTCCAACACTGCATGTGTATATGGATTTCTTACCTGAATCAGGTGTGCCACATTCTCCCCCTTTATCTGTGCAATCTGTGTCAAACTCAACAATGCATGCATGACACCTCTCAAAGAGAATTCTTTTATTGTTGCTGAAAGCCAGAACACCTTTAGAAATGAACCTGCTCCGTCTGACAGGATGACAAACTGTCAACACTCATGTTATTTAATCATGTGGGACAAACCTCCAGTGTAAAAACAGTGCATCTGAGAAAATATACAATATATGTTTATATATATGATCTTTTTTTGTACATACAGCAGTGGGTGAACACAGTGCAGATGTGTGAGGACAACATACAGTATACAAAATTTAGCACAGCTATACAGAGAAATGTAAAGAATTAAGGATGCCACAGGATTGAAGATGTTCTGTGGAGTTGATCAATAGTCACTTGAAGTCAATCTCTTACGACTTCAAGTGGAAAAGCAATTGATTTACAGGCAGAGCAGAAACACTGCACGCTCCTTTTTCATAATACAATCCCACTTGAAGCTGGGAGTCCTTGAAAGTGTCTAAGATTCATTTGCCCCCTGTCCCCGTCTCTCTGTTGCCCGGTGTCTTGGAAACAGAAGCGTTTTGTTCGCCAACGAAATTAACAGGTGATAGGTATTGTTGTGACAGTTGTAGGAATTTAAAAAACTCCACATTACACTTCTCAAACATAGTTCATGTCATCATGACAACCAGGTGATAGCGTTCATCTTTATTTATTATAAAAAATGTTTAAATCTGAAGTAGTGGCGAAAGCATTACGCACGAGTCATGACAGTCACAGGTGGACAACCAGAGCAAAAAGCAGCTGCATGAGGTGTTATGTTTCACCACACTCAAGTTACCGAGGGATCATTTTGGAGCTTGGTAAACCTTTACGGTCTATGATGGGCAGCGTGTACTCCCCCTTGCTCATAATCTGGAGAGGCACGACTCCCTGGGTTTCTCCGTGCGTAAAAGAGCGCGTGGCGCAGCTCTTCTTTGAGGATGGAGGGGACACTCTCCAAAACAACGCGCTGAGCATCTTCCTGATCTCTGGCCTCATCAGGCAGTAAAGCACCGGGTTTAGGCAGCTGTTCGCGTGCGCCAAGCACACGGTGACAGGGAACACATACGTGTGCACCATGTAATATGACTTGTCCCAGTTAACTGCGTTAAATTTGACCAGGACGCCCCAGAAGGTGATGGCATGATTTGGCATCCAGCAGCAGAAGAAAGACAAAACCACGATAGCGACAGATTTGGTGACTCTAGATCTCCGTTTGGGGTTGCTGCTGTCCATGCTCCTCCGCCTCACGAAGCGCAGCAGCATCAGGTAGTTAACACAGACTATGAGCATGGGTATGATGAAGGCTATTAATATTTTCTGGATGTGATAGAGGGCGAGCCAGTCGTGCCCCTCTGGAAACTTGAGGAGGCAGAGTTTTTCACCGGCCACCACAGTCACGGTGGAGAAGATAGCTGTGGGAGCTGTGGCCACTGTCGCCGCCACCCACAGCACCGCGCACACCCACTTGACGCACCGGGACCTCCTGTACGCTTTCTTCTTCAGGGCCGAGGCGACAGACAGGTAGCGGGTCACACTCATGGCAGTGAGGAAGAACACGCTGGCGTACATGTTCATCACGGTGACCGAGAGGATGATTTTACACATGGAGTCTCCAAACGGCCAGCTGAAGTCCAGCGCGGTGTCCACAGCCCAGAAGGGCAGAGTGAGCACGAACTGGAAGTCCGTCACTGCCAAGTTGATGATGAAAAAATTGATGGTGGACTTCTTCCGACCTTGCCGTAACCTCGTGAGGAAAAAGACGAGCAGGTTTCCCACCAGACCCACCGCGCAAACTACAGAGTACACCACGGAGATGAGGATCCTCAGGATGGAGGTGCCGTCTGCGCTCACGTCGATGTCTTCGAAACTGAATTTCTCATCGCCAGGTGAACTTCTGTTCAGAGCTCCTCCGCTGTGGTTGAATAAGTCATCCATCTTTAAAGTCAGGAACCTGGACTGGCACCAGGCGTTCCGCTGCGCGCACAGGCTAGACGCAAACACAGCCCTGACGCTCCATGTGAGAGTCCTCGCTCTTTATCCCCATTCAGTGAGTCTGAGTCTGCTTTTATACAGGTGTGTCGCTCCTCTGCTGAGCCACGATTGGCTGCACAAGATGTGACAGAGACGCAGACAGACATAGAGACGAGTGTAAATTTTCCAGAATCCAACTGCAAACACCAGGACTGGTTTACTGATTAGTCTCCATGAATTAATATTTGCCTCACACAGACTGTCAGCTCATTAGACAGGTGGCGGGGAGCTATACAAATGGGAAAATGTCAACTTCATCATGAAAAGTTAACGAAAATACAGGAACCTTCCTCCGTTTTGTTGTGCACATCATCACCAAGATCTCTCCAGGGGTCAGTTTGCCCTATAGGAGCATCATAACTGTGAAGGGCAGAGCAGGGTTGGAGAGGTGCCGAAATGTTCAGAACTGGGGTCAAAGGTCATCTGCGGGGTCATTTTATTAGTAAGACACTTGCAGTGACATCCTATGGGGGGACTGGTTTCCTAGGGCCCCAATGAGAACGGGGTCCTTGAAAAGCCTGGAATGAAAAGTTTTGTATTTATTTCTAAGAAATTAGTAATGGGCACGGTGGTGCAGTGGTTAGCATTGTCGCCTCACAGCAAAAGGGTTTCTGGCTCAAACCCAAGGTGGGGGAGCCCTTCTGTGTGGAGTTTGCATGTTCTCCCTGTGTCAGCGTGACTTTTCTCCAGCTTCCTCCCACAGTCCAAAGACATGCAGGTTAATTGGTGACTCTAAATTGTCCGTAGGTGTGAATGTGAGTGTGAATGGTTGTCTGTCTCTATGTGTCAGCCCTGTGATAGTCTGGTGACCTGTCCAGGGTGTACCCTGCCTCTCACCCAGTGTCAGCTGGGATAGGCTCCAGCCGCCCCTAAGAGGATAAATGAATGAAACAGTGTCATAACTAAATTAAAACTGGCTAAATAACTTGATTTAAAGACTGAACTTTCTATAGAAAATGCAGGAGCTCTTTGAGGCCCCTCTCACCCCTTAAAGGCACCACCCCTGCACTTGGATTCATCTCTAAACACAGCAACAGAGCTGAGTTAGTGCTGCTAAAGCACCAGCATACACTGTCATGTCTGTCCCCATAAAAGGGAAATCATGGTCCCAAAAAAGAAAAGACAAAAAGAAAGGAAAGGAAAAAGGACCCACAGAGACTGCTTATGCAAAGTGCCCAGAATTTGCTGCTACACCCGTGGACACTTGACACTGAGGTGAGACGGCTTGTGTTTTTCATTCCAGACTTTAAATATTGAGCTCCTCTGTGTTTATCTTCTAGGTTTGAATACATTAGGTTCATAATAAAACAATGTGGAAAATCCTCAAGCAGCCCTCTACCTGTCTGCACCTACCTGCACGGAAAATCCCCAGCCATTCCTACCTGCCTCCCTCTTCCTGAGGGGGCAGAGCCCAGGGTCTATATGTAGCCACAGCTCACAGGTGGCAGATGTTTTCTCTGGAGAACAAAGGAGCATGTGGACCAGCCTCATCCTTACCTCAAATTGTTTGAACTGAGTACATGATTTCACAAACTATGAAGAATATTTAGGAATTTAGGAAAGTCTGGTTCAAGGACTTGATCAACTCAGTGGTGTGTCAGTTAGCACAGATGAGCACATGCAGGAGCTTCCATTTCACTCTTATTTTTATGGAGGTCTGATCTGGTGACAGTGATGGACAGGAAATATTGGTTTCTCCATCTGCAGCCAATTCAAGGACGCACATTCCATGCTGTCTCTCCAGGCAGGGTGCACAGCAAACACAGGTGACCACACCGTCAGGATGTACAACTACACTGAACCCACATCTGCGTGATGCCTTCATCAGCGGCTCCCAGTTGTCACCAAGCTGTGTTTACACCATCAAGTCAACGCGGAGAGATTTGGTCTCAGTTGCACCTTGTGATGTTTGCTTTGTCGCTCTAGAGGAGGATGACTAAGTTCTTCTATTACATTAGTGGGAGTATCCAGTGAGTGTGTCATGCCTTTTGATGAGGCAGTCTTCAACAAACCCTCTGATGGTCACCTGCCATGCTGAGGGCATGTTCGTGAAAACAGCATGGACGCTCTCTGTCGCTGACATTAACTTAAATTTGAATGGCAACTTGGAGCTACTGATTAAGGCGTCACCCAGATGTAGTTGTACATCCCAGCAGGGTGATCATCTCTGTCGGCTATGCACCCAGACTTTCCTAAATTCCTGAATATTCTTCAATAAATATTACCATCAAGAGTTATGAAGGGAGAGCTATAGTTTAGATAGTTTTTTCTGTGATTGTTACATTAGATTGGGGATGCTTGTCACATTCTCCTCAGAGTTGGTTGCCACATGTATTGCTCTTTGTTTTGGCCTCATATAAAGATGAAAAATGCACTTTTAGGAATGATTTTTCCTACTTATGTTCTCTCTGTGCATGAGCTTGGTTGGCTTGTTGCATTTCAATTAAAAAATACCAATGAAATTTGACTTTAAATTCATTTTTAAGATTGCTTACTGCTGTTTATTTTTTCCCCATTAAAATACCACAGTGACAACCAACCCCATGATGAGGATAGATGTCACTTTGGCTAATTGTCAGTCCATATCTCTTGAACAGAATAAGTTTAAGGAGAGAAACACCACTCCATACCTGCCTGACATTTTAGGCTTCACATCGAAAGGGAGTCCATTAAGGACATAGTGTTTACAGGGTTCAAATGAAAGTTAAAAAGTATAAAGTGCTTTTCAGAAATATACAACTGTGACATTACACCAGACCCACGCACTGCCATCCTGGGTGGAACCCCACATCTATTAGCTCTATCCCACTTGCAGCAAAAGACAATACTATATGGCATGGTTGAGGCAAAAATGAATATTTTAAGTCTTTGGGAAACTGGGGATGTGTCTTCTTGTAAGACCAACTTGTTCCACATGGAGAGAGTTGGATGCAGTGTTTCCCTCAGCTCTGTAATCTTTGACAAAACATGGCAACCATCCATGTCCTATCTATCAAGAGTGACCTAAAGTGTTTGCATGTACACATACTTGCTCATAATGGGTTGGACAAACAACATTTGTGTACTGACACTATATGCATATGTACAGACATCTATTCTGTAGTCGGTGCCTATAAGAGCTTTGTTTTAAATCTAAAAATCTACAAATAAAATATGAAAAAGGACAGTGTAAAGTGTGACGACCAGCCCCGCTCTCCCCTAATAATATCAGAGCTGATGTGCAGGAGCATCATCAGTGCTCCATCATGCCTTCATCTGCCCGCTAGAGGGGGCGCTAAGCTCAAACAGATGGAGACTGATAAAGCAAATCAATGATGTAGAGTTCAGAGAGCATGTTTTTCAATACAGCCACTTTTTTCCACTCAAGTTAAAGACATCGCACATGTAGGTCCGGGAGTTTCCAAAGTTCTTTCCCAATAAAGTTTTCAACCACAGGTTCCTTCACCACTGTACAGAGGGTTTTTAATAATGCACACTGAGGCTCCTGATATCTCATCATCTCTCTGACTCTGAGTGAACGCACCAATATCGAAACCGGTCCTCATGTGACCCTCTGAAAACCCAAATGACCTCAGTTTTGGGAGCAGCCGCCAACTGGATTGAAGCGCCATATCCGATTTCTTGGAGTAGCATTCCCCTTTAAGCCTCCAGCCCTGCTGAAAGATAGCCCATTGTCTTAAGTCCACCCATCTGTGGGGGTGGCTCTGCTCTGCGAAAGTTTGCAGAGAAAACTTTCAAGCTGTCACTGGCTGTCGGTCGGAGACTGATGGAGGATAGAAGGGACAGCTACTCGCAAGCAGACGTCAACGCCGACACCTAAACAAGTCCACAAAGAGTGAGAATGCAGCAGGAACAGCCCGTGGGTGCAGGCGATGTCCAGGCCTGAATTGGAAAAGTTTGCAGGGACTGTCACTTTTTAAAGTGCACGGTCGCAACAAAGCGAAAAGTGCATCCAGCCCACATGGAAATCATTTGAATTGACAGTCAACGCGGTGTCACAGAGGCGTTAAATGTTTCTCAAGTACAGGCTGCTACCGTCCTGACAACATGACCCGTTTGGACTGCGGGCTTCACGCTTCTGGACAAGGAGTCTCTCTCATTCACCTCCTCGTCGCTCTTCTGGCGCTCCTGGAAAACTGCAAAGCATTGGGATTATCACATGAGTCAGGTTAGTGAGCCACATAACACACACCTCAAAGTTTGCATTCGTGGTATCTCCACGTCTCCTGGTACTGTGCCCGCTTTTGTTGTGCGCATTTGTTCCAGAGCTAATTGAGCCCAGAATCAAGCCAGCGGCAGCAGCAGCAGCAGAGCTCAGTGTGGAGGGGAGGCCAGCTGTGACTTGTGTTTACAAAGTTCTGGGCTGACCATGGCAGCTTAGTCTGGTTGCTGCAGAGACCTTCTTTCCACTGAATCATCCAAGGTTTAAGCCACATGTAGGAAAGCATCTGCCCTGCCCTTGAGCCAAAACACAGACTCCCAGTGCGGCTGACTCTGACCTCTGACCTCACCAGCCGAAGGTCAGGAAACAGAATTTCTCTGTGGGTATCTACAGGATGCATCATCACTCTCACAATGGAGCTGGTTTCCATTCTGCACTGCAGAGTGTACTAGCTGTCAGGCCCAGTGGATATCATCACATCAGAGATTTAATCCTGCCTTGTCTTGAAGGAAACACTCCTCCACCTCCACCTCCACTCCCTGCACTCCTCTCACGCATCCCTTTAGCTCGCTGTATGGATGTCAAAAGTCACGGCTCTCCTGAGGGTACAGGTACAAGCAGAGCAGCGAGCCTGGGTGCACTCTGCCTCAACCTGCATAAATCAACTGTGGCCCTTGGGAGAAAAACTAAGCACTGTTGGATGTGCCACTGACACATGGCACCTCCCCAACATTAGAGGCTGCAGGTGATAAATGTTGGCACAGGAATCCCAAAGTTGTTTTAAATGTAGAAGCACTGGGGCACAGGCGTCTGCAGTGAAGGGCACAGCTGCTTGATGAAAAGCTGTAATGAATTAAAATTAAACCTTGTGTGTATTTAATTAATTGAGATGCTTCATTGAATTCTTAGAGATGAGGGAAAACCCTTAATGGGTTATGAAATGCCTTCCAATAAAAGATCTGCACGCATGCAACCAGACAGCATGCCTCCACCAAGGCTGCAAAGCTCTATTGTTTAGTAAATATTTTCTCCATCTGAATCCAGATCCTCATCAAAATATACAAAATCAAAAACAGCCATGCTTAATGACTGACGTCAGCCAGGATTTCTGCAATAAAATAAAAAAAAAATCAGAAATATTACGCCTAGCTGTAGGTTGAATTGTGCAAAATTTAAAGGGACAGTTCACCCCAAAATCAAAATTAAAAAAAGAATCACCGCTAAAATAGTACAAGTGCGGACAAGAGGTGCAAAGATAAAAAAGATTGTTCAAAGTGAGTTTAAAAATAAGGGTGCAGTCACTACAGGGTGGAGTAGGCAGCTCATAATAAGAACCACAGTTTACAATGTCGTGAGTTAAGTCATCACTAGATGAGTCGTGTGCAATTAAACTGCACAGTTAGAGTTGTTTGGAAATACAGACGTTAATAGATACTGTACATATAAAATGATTTAGTCAGGAATAAGAAAGCTTCCTTCATCACTCCAAAATAGTGTTTCTTAAAGGCACAGTTCACCCCAAAATCAAACATGTTTTTCCTCTCACCTTTCGTGCTGTTTATTAATTATTAATATAGGTTCACTGACAAAGACCAAGAAGATAACGATTCCAAATGGTTTATTGCGTAAGATGGATTATGGGTTCAGAAGAAACCCTGAAGGGATGAGGATGGAGGGATTAGAGAATGAGAGGATATAGATGAAGGGATGACAGGATGTACAATGAAGGGATGAGGGGATGGAGGGTGAGGAATGGAGGAATGAGGGTCAGATTAAGGGTTGAGGGATGAAAGGATGAAGACAGAGGGGTGAGGAGGTGAAGGGTGAGGGATGAATGGATGAGGAATGAAGGAATGAAAGATGAACGAATGAGGGTCAAAGGGTTGAGAGATGACGAGATGAAGGTTGACGGTCAAATGGATGAGGAATGAAGGGATAGAGGGGTTGAAGGGATGAGGGTCGAAGGGTCGAATGGATGAGGGTAGGAGGGTTGAGGGATGAAGGAATGAGGAGATGAGGGTCGAGGGAAGAATGGATGGAGGTCGAGGGTCGATTGGATGAGGGATGAAGAGATGAATTATGATGGGATAAGGGTGGAAGGGTTGAGGGGTGAATGGATGAAAGGTTAGGGATGACAGGATGAGGATCAAGGGATGAAGAGTGAGGAATAAAGGGATGAGGATTGAGGGATGAAGGCTGGGTTTCTGGGTAGCAGGCGAGTGCAATGATGGATGTTTTCGAAGGCAGGAACACAGGAGGGATCCCAGGAGTGAGACTGAGTGGGGGAGTTGTCTCTTAGTGAACTTGTTCTAGGATAGAAGGAGTAGAGAAAAAGATGTAAGAGGCGAGAAGGGATTGGGCAGATGGGATGTGAGAAAGAGAGAGAGAGAATGCATCAGGTGTGCTTAAATACTTTGGGGTGGAAATGGGATGTGGTTGAGGTGTGGTCTTTGTTCTCGACATGAAATTGCAAGATCTTTGGATTATTTTGACTAAACAGGTCATGATTTCTCGAAAACAGACATTGCTGTTGAGTTTTGTTTTATTTTAAATTTCTTATTTATTTATACATTTTTTGGTGCTTTGAGCACCACCAGCCAAGTGTAATCTAGTTCCATTATATTGGAGAGCAGGCAGACATTTCAATGTCTGATATCTCCAACACTCGGCAACTCACACCAAAACAATCTAGACTGATAAGTAGCACTACAGGTAAGAGGAAAAATATGTATTTTTGATTTTGGGATGAACCGTATTCATGGGAGCTTGCCTATCCAGTCTACATGTGCTATGTGGACTTGGAGAGGGCTTAGGACTGCATCCCTAAGGTACTTCAGTACTACGGGACTGCAGGGGTACCGGGCTCACTGCTACAAGCCATTCAGTCCCTGTGTGACCAAAGTGAGAGCTGCATCCACATACTCAGCGTAAAGTCAAACACGCTCTCGGTGGGTGTTTGCATCCGCCAGGGTTGTCCCTTGTCACTGATCCTGTTTGTGATTTTTATGGACAGGATCTCGAGGTGCAGTCGAGGGTAGGAATGGATCCTGTTTGGGGACCTCAGAATTGCTTCTCTGCTTTTCACAGATGATCTGGTTCTGTTGGCTTCATCAATCCGTGACCTCCAGCATGCACTGGGGCGGTTTGCAGCGTAAGGTGGTCAGGCTGAGAGTCAGCACCTCCAAATCTTTTTTTCCTTATCCGCTGCGAGGGTCAGAGGGATGTCGTATGCTGTAAAGCCCTGTGAGGCAAATTGTGATTTGTGATATTGGGCTTTATAAATAAAATTGATTGATTGATTGATTGAAATCTGAGGCCATGGTTCTGTCGGAAACCGGTGGATTGCCCCCTCCTGGTTGGGAGGGAGTTACTGCCTCAAGCAAGGGAGTTCAAGTATCTCTGGGTCTTGTTCAGGAGTGAGGGTAGAATGGAGTGTGAGATAGATCGGCAGTTTGGTGCGGCTTCTGCAGTGATGCGGGTGCTGTGCTGGACCGTCATGGCGAAGAGGGAGCTGAGCCAGAAGGCGAAGCTTTCAATTTACTGGTCCATCTACGTACCAACCCTCACCTTTGGCCATGAGCTCTGGGTAGTGACCAAAAGAATGAGGTCACGGATACAAGCTGCTGAAATGAGTTTCCTCCGTGGGGTAGCTGGGCTCAGCCTTAGAGATAGGGTGAGGAACTCGGACATCCAGAGGGAGCTCAGAGTAGAGCGGCTGCTCCTTCGCGTAGAAAGGGGTTAGTTGAGGTGGTTCAGGCATCTGATCAGGATCCCTCCAGGGTGCCTCTAGCTGGAGATGGTTCAGGCACGTCCCACTGGGGAACTGATTACATATCTCATCTGACCTGGGAGCACCTTGGGGTCCCCCAGGAGGAGCTGGAAAGTGTTGCTGGGGAGAGGGTCATCTGGCCTGCTGCCCCTGTGACCTGGCCCCGGATAAGCGCATGAAAATGGATGGTGTGAAAATGGAGTGTGAATTGTCTCTTAAAAGTGATACAAAATCATGACGGCCGATTTATTGCCATCCATTTAGTTTTTGCTGTATCTTCTGCTGTGGATGAAATTCCATCTGAAGTTTTGCGCCGTTGCTGAAATACCTAGACTTTTAAGGAACAAAGTGAAAATCCTTTAAGTGACCTTACAGAAGGTCAAAACTTTAAAGCATGTGTTTTTCTTGCTCTTCATTCAGAAAGACATTCCGAGCAGCTGGTTGCCAAACACATCCACCTCAGATCTCACTGCACACTGATGTATTCATTCAAATATTTGTGCAGATAATCCTGAGCGAGGCTGAATGGAGAGGGAGACCTTGTTTCACCTCGGAGCTGTGTGAAGTCATTGTTTACATTCTGCTGGTTTCTCCTGAATGACATTAAGATAATGATGGTATTATGAGAGTTCAGGCGCAGGTCTTTGTACCTTGATAAATTATCTTCATGCAAAGGCAGTGTGTTTGGAAATTATGATGCTCCAACGGTGTTATTTTGACTGTGAGCCGCAGAGAATAGATGAGACATTATTATGAAACAGCAGTTGTTGTTGTTGTGTCATCAGTTATGATGTTATTATTGTTTGTGCAGATTGGCCACATTTATTGATGTTTTCTTCTTTATATGCTAATTAGGGATTGATGAAATACAATCACAATATTACAGGGTAGTTATGAAAGGACTATTTTATAAAGTTATGAAACATAAGTATTGACTAATTGCAGCAATCAACAGTGTCTTTCAAGTAAGTAGTTTGCCTCTTCTCTCATCAATTCTCTCTTTGTACTTGGTGAAATAGGTTTGTTGTGTCACCCAACCCGCTGTTGCTACTGTCGTATTCTTCCATACCTTACGTTATGTAATGGTTTGTTGTAGATCAAATGTTTTATGTCCAAATAGTTTCCATTTCCACAATTTTTTAAGTTGCTCACTTTATGTGGAACAAACTCCTGCATTATGGAGCCGCCTCTAATGTTATCGTAAGTGCTAATATCATAGACAACTGGACTTGCTTGCGTTTCTTGAAGACGTTTTGCCTCTCATCCAAGAAGCTTCTTGAGCATGGATTGGCTTGTTTTGGATGAGAGGCGAAACATCTTCAAGAAACACAAGCAAGTCCAGTTGCCTACGATATTAGCACTTACAATTATCATGACCTGGATGACTGAGAATCTTCACGGACAAGCGACTAATGTTACTGGTGTTTGTTTTCAGACATAATATGACTCCCCCCTGCCAAAAGTCTCTGAAAATTCCAGTGGAAAATGAACTATCGAATGTTATTTTAATAAATTATGCATTTTAAATACATCTTCATGTGAAGAAAAATATTTGTGATTGAAAGACTCAAATCTTGTTGTTTCTGCTGTAAAATCTATAAACTTATGTCAGCATATCTATAAAGAATCAAAAGGCAACAGGACAAGATTTTGATAGTGGAAGCTTTTTGGTTGCTGTTGGTAGGCCGAGTAGTAGGGATGCACCGAAATGAAAATTTGTGGCCAAAGCTGAAGCCCAATGAAATTAAACGCTTGGCCGAATACTGTTTAGTTTTTCATTAGTTTTTGCAGATGAACCCCCTCCAGATTAGTGTTGTCAGGGTACCAAAATTGGGACCCATGGTATGATACCAGTGAAAGTATCATGGTTCTGAGTAGTATCACGATACTACAGCGAAAATGAGGCAGATGTGCCTTTTGTCATTTATAAAAAGATAAATCACTTTTCTATAATACATCAATGATATTTCAATGGAATAAATTACTTATTGACTTATTCATACTTCAAAAACAGCATCAATAAGTGATTAACATAGGGGGGATCAAAATAAAATAAAAATCAACCAGCCACCCTCCTCCCCTGACAAGTCCCTTCATAAGTAAAGAACAGTCCCTAAAGTGCGGTGAGGTTTGTGGACCGTTACCTGCCGCAAAGAGTAATGTGAACGGCTCGTTTCTCCTCTGACACGTCACACACCTGTGTGCTGCCACGGCTCAGCTGTCCAGGTACTTTTGGGCAGTCATGACGCCAAGAAGAGAACATTATTGGAGCCGTACTTCTCCGTCGCCGGTAAGCCTCATCTTGCGCATGTGTGTACTGAAAGTGCATACTAAACATAAACATTGATTTTTGAGTGTAATAAACTAAATTAAAAAGATCTGTGCCCTTGAGCAAAACTTAAACTCGACCGAACGATAAATTGTGGGACATGTGCACTTCAGTCATCAGTATTATTGATCCCATCAGCCAACCACAATGAACCTGCCTGTAATTGCTCTTCCTAAGGCACTTTTTCTCTCCACTTACTCACAAAAGGAAGATCATTCTCACACTCCCTTTAATGCCGCTGATTCAGCAACTTCAAATCACAGAAAATTAAGGTGTATTATTTTTATTAAAGGAATGAGTTTCACCAACATGATCAAACCTGCTGCATATGAAAGTAGAAAGTAAAAGGAGGATAGCAGAAGGATAGCTGACAAGAATTCAGTGTTCCCCTGTTAGGCACTGTATACACTGCAGCTGTATTCAGACATTAAAATGACAGATGAGACACCCATATGGATTTGTTTATAACTTTACAGCTGCTTTAATTATTTAATAACCCTCCTCTTTCCCATGATTTATTAACCCATCTTCTCTTACATCTTCCCACCATGACTTCGACAGAGAGAGTTCTGCGGGATCTGCCTCAGTATGAAGTGGTTCACCCCACGAGAGTGGATGCCAGAGGTCACTTCCTGTCCAACTTCCTGTCTCACCATGCTCGGCGTGTACAGCGCCGGGAAGCCTCAGAGGGACCAGCAGACTTGGATCGAGTCTTCTACCAGTTGTGGCACGGAGGCCACAGTTTGCACTTTAACCTCACCCTCAACCCATACCTGCTGGCTCCAGGCTTTGTGACTGAGAGGAGATACGGTGGCCTGGATGGGGCCCAGATCCATCCTCCTGGATCCTCCAGGTGCTATTTCTTAGGTGAAGTGTGGGATGAGGCCCTTGGTAGAGGACGTGCAGCCATTAGTACCTGTGATGGACTGGTGAGTAATTTTAAAATCTCCATAGGAAATTGCAAATGCATTTCAGGGTAAACACAGAGGTGTTAGCTGCAGCAGTGTTCAGACTTAAGTGTGTGTCATAATATCAGAATTGTTTAAATGGATGTTCATCTGAGAACTTCAGGGTCATTTAGACAGCTACACACCCTAAATGGATTTTCCACAAAACATAGGTGTGTCTGAAGTTATTCACTATCCAGACTTGGAACCTAAGTGTTTTACTCCAGCCAGATGTACACAGTCTGAATATTTGTTGAAAGCACAGATTTTTCCCTTTAAAAGTGAAATATGTAAATCCTGGCCTCATGCTCGAAAGAAATTTCACCGGTCCACCAGTGGGTCCATCAGTTATTTAAATAAGCCAACTTCAAACTAACAGCAGGGCAAGAGTATGAAAACTTTGACTGAGCTGCTGAAACTCTGAGAGCTGGTCAAAATCTTTACATGTGGCGTCGGCCTCAGGGCTCGACATTAACACTCACGCTGGGCAAATAAACTGTGTGTTTGGGCCTATGGTTTGGCCGAGTGAAATGCCTCATGCATAAATGTGATGTCTAATACAAGGTTATTTGAAAATAATCTGCACACCTAATAGTGCACAGTGTGTTTCACCCTTTATACTCTGAATGTATAAAGAGAACTGGATACAGCTTTACAGGCAGGGCCCTGCTCATCCTCATGGAAGTTCCTCAGTAGTGCAAGAAGCCAAAAAGGTTTCACTTCCCAGATGTAAAACTACCTGGAACTTTTTTGTCATTGGTCCCATAGAGCAAGCACGCTAGTAATGATTGTGCTAAGTGGCTAATGGGCATGTAGCTACTTCCATGTTTCAGATGATACGTCATGTTTGTAGTCGACCAATGAAGATGAGTTTACATATCACCTTGGGTTCGTCCTTCACCTTCTCAAAATGATCCCACACTTTGGATTTCCTGCCCGACATGTTATTAACTAGCCTGTGTAATAACCGCAGGTACCAGCCCTGGGAATTAGGGCCCATACACATGCTGCGTCTTTAAGCGCCTGGAAAACACGAGGTTGGGCGTTACACTTGTGGCTTTTTTGTGCCAGCTTTCAAGAGCGTGGCGGCAGGTTGCGTCTGAGGTTGCTAAGCAACCTTAACAAGCATTGTATAGCCTCACCTTAAATCCTGAGTGCAGAGGTGATCTTCTTCCAGGCGCTGTTTATAAGTGTGTAGGCCTACCATCTGTGGGACAGATGTAAAGCTCTGGGTAGCCCTGCACTAACATGATCAACTTTTCCGTATTTATCTGACTGAATATTTACAGAAGAAGGGAAAGATATCTGTCGGCTGTGATTGGTTTGTAACCTGACTCCTGTCTGACTGCTGAGCGTGGCCATTTCCTGTGTCTGTCCTTTGAGATTAAATTCCCACATGGTCCAGTCATATAGGTTTTGATTTATTTTGACAAGGTGCAGCTCCTAATAGAGTCTCACATTTGTTTGTTTGTCCTAGTGAAAATGCACGTGTTTGGGAAGTACTGAGCTCATGACTAGATAAATGAGACATGGATTATTCTGCCTAAGTTGTTTTAAATTTTGTAAACAGATGTTTTGATATAGTTTTGCTGTTGTTAAGCATGGTCCCCAATCAATCAGTTCGTCAGTATGTTCGCTGCTTTCTGTGGAGGCATGCAAGAAAAATAGTTTTCTTCAGAAATTTAAATTAACATGACATGACAAACCTTACAAACATTACAAACAGACATTTTGTGGTGAATTATTCATGTAAACATCATATTTGTAAGCAGTGGAACATATATTCTACACACGCACACATCCCTTTAAACTTTTCAGTAATTGTTGTTGCACTTCCATTTTGCTGTAAAAGTATTCACCATGTAACTGTTGAGGCTGAAGAACAAAGTGACACTCCCTTCAGTGCATTTCAAAGATCACAGCAGGAATCCGACTATAAGCCACAATCTGCTCGCTCATATTCACAGACTGTTTCTTCAGAATGCAGCGAGCCATTCGTGTTGTGCTCTGCCTCTGTGATCGCACGCAGATGTGTGCTCATAAAGGAAAAAATTTTTAGACTGCTGAAGGAGATGCTCGGGTTCATCGGTGCATTCACAGATTTTAAATTGACAACAGAGCATTTTCAATCCCTGACACAGAGTTATGGCAGTGCTGCGGTGATATTGCTCCACATCATCTCTGGTCCATGACTTTCAAAGATATTTACATGTAGCACAAACACCTCCTGTATTTATTATGTCATTGTTAATGTGACAAATATGAAATATGATTATTATCATATCGCCATTAATCAGAACAGATCTTAAATAAATCAGAAAAAAAGACATTTAATACTGTTTTTATGTAATTAAATAATCATTTCTTCTTTAACAACATGTTTCAAACATAATATCACAGCTAGGTTGGTCACTTATTGGTAGTTGTGTTTCTTTGGGGTAAAAGGCATGTGCTTGTTTTTAAGAGATGGGCTGGAAACATGGGAAACCTCATCCCTCGACAGTTCGCCACAACAGAAGCCTGGCGGGGCATCACTGTGCCAGAGATACATACTTTGTAAACCACAATGGGGCGAGTTGATGTGTCACAGTAGTAAAAGCACAGCTGTAAATAATAAAATTAACAATGTCTGAATGTCATTAAGATGCTTCAGTTTTCAGGGTCCTCGTATTGTGTTTGCTTGGCTCACTGTGGGACACACACACAAACTTGCCTGTGTGTGGTTGTGTGTCTTCCTCAAGCTCAGATCCTCTACCACAGGCCTGGGAGTTCTGCACAGTATCTTAGCTGTTCCTGTTCCGCACATCTTTTCTTGCTCCTCTTTCAGCCCTTGGTGTTTTTCGAGCTTCCTCCCTGTTCCTTCTGACTGATGTTGCTGGTGCTCGGGCTTGCTACATCCATCATTACTCCCTTCTTCTGTTGTTTATCCATCAACATAGTGTCTGCTTGGTTCATCATCAGCTTGTCAGTCTGGATCCAGAAGTCCCTGGATCTTAGCTTGGTCATTCTCAACCACCTTTGGAGGTGTCTTTCATTGTGACCTTGGGACTTCCAGTCCATACTCAGTGCACATGTTCCTGTACACTACGCCAGCCACCTGGTTATGGCGTTCCGTGTACGCTCGTCATGCCTGCATCCGAGCCATCAACATGTACGCCCTGCCAGTCATCAGATATCTCACTGACATAATAAACTGGCCAAAGGAGGAGAAGAGGCCACTGATATCAAGACGAGAAAGCTTCTCACAATGAATGTAGGGTTTCATCCCAAGACCAGCACCCTGAGACTGTACACTAAGTGGAACGAGGGGGCCGAGGACTGGTGAGCAATTGGAGTGTTTCAATTAGTTCTTTGTCATAGTCCCAGTCATGCAGTTGGATATGCATGATGTTAGATGCATTTCCACTCACATACCCTACATCAGCTGAGAAACAGCGACGCACAGTCCTCGTTCTTTCTCTCCATTGCTGTTGTAGCTGACCAGGAAGCCGCAGACTGGTCTACCAGCTCCGGGGTTTATTTGCGCGCACTGTAGTGTGACTGACTGGCACGCTAATCTGCTTGTTGTGCGAGACAACTTCAATGTCATTAGTAACATCTGTGCTTTTCCTCCTATGTAATGTCAAAATGTTTACTGTGAGAAAGCCTAACTGGCTGGGGGGGCTTTGTTGCATGCCATCCCCTCTTCCTGTCTGCTCTTTGACGACACACTAGAGATCAGCATAAGTCTGAATGCATAAATCTTTTGAAATTAAGGAAACACCTTAAGTTGCCTCTCTGAACATGGCACGAGGCGAGCAGTGCAGTGCATCGAGCACTCGGTATATTAAACAGGCGCCCCTGTCACATACAGTAAACTCATCCAGAGAGCTGCACCATCAACAAGAGTACTCCACCAATTTAGAATTGCACCCCTATAACATTGTCAAATTCACGATGGACAGTTCAGCAAATAAGTTGAAAATTGATGCAACAGAACTGGGGATATCATCTTTTTTTGCTCAAGTGCTTATCTGAAGCTGGGTAGCAGGGGCAGTAGGCTGAGCAAAGCATTCCAAATGCCCCTCTCGTCAGCAACGCTTTCCTGCTCCTCCTGGGGGATGCCGAGGTGCTCCCAGGTCAGACAAGATATACAATCCCTCCAGCATGTTCTGGGTCTGCTCCAGGGCCTTTAGTTTTCCCCAGAACACCTCTATTGTGAGGCCTGATCAGATGCCTGAACCACCTCAACTGACCCCTTTCGACGCGAAGGAGCAGCAGCTCTACCCTTGAGCTCCCTCTGAGCTCCTTACCAGGTGCATTGTGTGCTGGGTGGCAGGCAGGGTCATGGACCTGCGCGTGCTGACCCATTAGTGTTGCAGACTTGGCCACACATTCTTCTTCCTTGTGAAGACTGTCCGCCTCCAAGACCCACAGTTCAGTGGTTGTGTTAAGGTTGTAGCGGCCAATGTAGCCTAGAGTTTCTAGCATCCTACAGAGATGAGGAGTGGACTACAGAGGTCTCAGATCTTTCTAACTTCACACCCACAGTTTTTTGTCTTTTCAGACTTTTCAACCAACGCTGCAATTTATCAGATTTCACAAAAGAGTTTAGAAATCTTTTTTTCACATACGCAGCACTACTCCCCAGAGACCTGTAAACAGACTTTGATGTACCAGATCAGTGAGGTTCTCTTTTCAGGTGCCTTCCTGAGAACCTTCACAGTCTTTGTTTCACCTCAGAGGATGCAGTCACATCTAGAATCTGTAGCGTTTACCACATGGATAAAATCAATGCAGTATTCTGTTTAATCTGATTATATAGATTTATTTATCAAATAAAAAAACGTTTCCTCTCGGTTCAGATCTAAAGAACGTAGAGACTATCCAAGCAGAATCACTTCCATGTTTGTGTCACAGTCATGTTAAAACACCCATGAAATGAGTGGTAAATTTCTGCATAGGCTTGCTTGGAATACTCAAATTGAAACAGATGCAGGGAT